TTGTAGGAGATTGACATTTGGCATGTAGGTTCAATCCCGATGACAATACATTTTTTTGCAAGGCATGACCCGAATTTTTGACAGCTGTCAAAATGGCGGCATTTTTGAGGTTTTTGATTTTTTAAAATTCTATTTATGAATGGATCGGGCTGAAATTATATATATATATATATATATATATATATATATATATATATATATATATATATATATATATATATATATATATATATATATATATATATATATATATATATATATATATATATATATATATATATATATACAGGTTGTTAACTCGACAGTTACTTATAGGGAAACAGAATGGCAACACTGCCTATTGAGAACGTATGCATTATTGATTTTTCTGCCGACTCGTCCCGTCGCGTCGTCTATCGACGAGCGGGCCGAGGTTATTTCAACCATAAAACTCTTGCCGCGAGTAATGAACAATTTAACAACCTGTATAGGTATATTGTGGGTATATACATATGAAAAAAAATATATGGGCGGCCATCTTGAAAAAATGACAGTTTAATGACATGTCAAAATTTCAAAGTCAACCGATTTTCATAAAAATTGATATATAGGATGGCCATGGGCTAAAATGAAAGAAAAAAAATTTGAGCTGTCAAATTTGACAGCTGTCAAAAAAATTTCAAAGTTGTCCGATTTTGATAAAAATTGATATATAGGACGGCCATGGGCGAAAATGAAAAAAAAATGTTGAGCTGTCAAATTTGACAGTTGTCAAAAAAATTTCAAAGTTGTCCGATTTTGATAAAAATCGATGATGGCCGTGGGCTAAAATGAAAGAAAAAAATTTTGAGCTGTCAAATGTGACAGCTGTCAAATAATTTCAAATTTGTCCGATTTTGATAAAAATCGATATATTGGATGCCCCCTACCCCATAGTCGGTTTTCATTTTATTTGTCTCACATTTGAACTGTCAAATTTGACAGCTGTCGTTTTTTTTAAGTTCTCCTTTTTTAATGAAAATCGATATACATATTATTAGGATACCCATAGAAAGTTATTTAAGAAAAAAAAATTGAGTTTAAGTGTGTGGCACTGAGAAACAAGCATAACTAAAAAGTAGATGATAAATTTTATAAAAAAACCTTTTTTAAAAACAAGCTTTTATTTAAATACACTAAAAAGAATAAAATAAACTCTTTTTCTTTAAAACTTTTATTATAAACTTAGAACGTCATTACACAATTTTAATATTAGATATATAAAAGCTTGTCGCGAGATTTCTCTACATCGATAAACAAGTAAATTAACTAAAACCTGTGTCTACCCTGTCTCATTCTCAAAGTTTCTGTTATGATAGACCACTAGACCAGGAATTACAAGATAAAGTTGTCGTACCAGATTTTTATGAGTGCAAATGTACACTCAAATCTCGCGACAAGCTTTTATATAATATTAAAATTGTGTAATGACGTTATAAGTTCATAATAAAAGTTCTAAAGAAAAAGTTTATTTTATTCTTTTTAGTGTATTTAAATAAAAACTTGTTTTTAAAAAAGTTTTTTTATAAAATTTTTCAGAACAATTTTGAAGAACTTTTCTTAAATGAAAATATATTATGTAAATTCGTTAAATTATTTCAGACAATTAAATTCAACCATCAATCAAAATTTTCCTATAATGTATTTTTTGTTAAATTTATACGCAAAAGTTAGAAATTATTATACCTTAAAGAATATTACTAAGAACTTAAATGTAGCAAACAAAAACCGAAAGCTCCTAATTTAGAAACATTCGTAAATAACTATAAGTAATCAATGTACTTATTTCATTTTGCTGTTATTTCTAGAAATAAATTAATTAATTTGTTTTTTAAATGTTTTTCTTTGAGAATGCATATTTATTTAAAGTCAACAATTTAAAAAACGTGTATCTAAATTATGTTCTAGCACAGTCGAATAATTTTTTACGTCACGTGTAAAATTTTTTTGAATACATCTCTGGGCTGACTGGCGCTTACGCGGCTATTGGTTTTGGCGAGAGAGCTCGCCGCTCTAGTGTTCCCCCTCTTTCGAATCGCAAATCCGAGCGTAAAAAGATCAAAGCGGCACGCTACACTGTCCGAGCTGGTTTTTACTTAAGCTGTGATTGAGCGTTGTGTGACCTGCAGTTTCCTTATGATATCCGTTTTAAGTGTTCAGGTTTCGCATGCATAGGTCATCACTGGTAATACCCTGGGTAATACATATTGGTCGAATGGTTTCTTCTTTAGATATAGTGGAATTCTAGATTTGAATATGATTGAGTTTCTTCCATAAGTACTCCATGCTAACTTAATTCTTCTGTTGATTTCTGGTAGTAGAGATCCCGCTCTGTATATTATTTGTCCCAAATATATATATTCTTATACTATTTCCAGTGTTCTGTTATTTATTAGAATGTCTTTTCTTTCTACTATTTCCACACGTATTTTTTTGTTCGGCTGATATTTTCTCTCAGTTTATGTATGTGATCGATCCTGCTGAAGCCGCTTCTAAAGCCTGCTTGTAGTGCAGCGTCTTGGCGTCTTTGGTTGTTTCTGTTGTTTGTTATTTTTGTAAATATCGTGTATGTTATTGGTAGTAAGCTTATTGTTCCTGATGTTTTCTTTTCTGCCTTTCTTATGAATTAGAATTATGTTGGCGCTATTCCATTCTTGTGGTATATATTTCTCCTGTTTTCTCATTAGACAGCTGGTGTATAATATACAGAGTGAGTTTTCTACGATGTTCTCTATGGGTATCTCGGAAACTACTGGAGATGAGAGTCGTTTAAGTGGGGAAATAATTGAAGTTTTGTATGGTCATAAATATGCGTCTATCAGGTTTTTGAAAAAGTTCATGGCTTACTAGATATTGCGAAAAAAACAAAATTTCAGCTATTTTAAAAATTGTCCATAATTCCATTATAATCTATTTTAGACAAAAAAATTTCAGATAAAAGTTGTAGATAATCACATTCTTAATGAAACTGTGTTCTCCATTTTGACATAATATGACACAAACATATGTCTTTTTTTAAATGGAAACTATAGTTGGACACGACTTCATAAAAAGCGCCGTCTTTTAAGCTTTTCAGCGATATTGAATATATAAAAACTGCAAATATGAATTTTTCAAATGAAGAAAAGCGTGTATTATTGGTTCAACTTTTCTTGGCAATAAATTTTCGTTAACGTTACTTACGCTTTTTAGAGAACAGTTTTCAAGACATGTTTGAAAAGTTAAATTTAGAGACTCCCCCATCAATACAGTGACTTTTATTATGACATCCCCCCCCTCCATAATAAAAGGAATGTTAAAATTTATTTATATCATAATTATCCAAATTCAGGGATAGGAAGGCGTGGACCAATTGCATAGGCCTCCTCGATCACCTGACCTATCCATTTTAGATTTTTTTGTGCGGTATGGTTAACAACAAGGTTTACAAAAGAACTTATCAAGTAAGAAAAGGCTGTACGGGTGAAGTTTAATAAAGTCGACCGGTCGTTCTGTGAGAAAAGGTAATAGCTGAATATTTTCTAGTTTTAGTTCTTTTTAAAGTTTTAGTTTGTGTAATAATTGTAAAGAACCGTTTAATAAAATATTCTAAATTTTGATAAATTATAAATCATAACAGAATAAGAAGGGAGTTAAAATAGCCGATATTTGTTTTTTTTTCGAAATGTGCCATTCATTCAGCTATGAACTTTTTGAAAAATCTGAAAGGCGCATATTTATGACCCCACAAAACTGCAATTCTTTCCCCATTTAACCGACTACGTATCTCCAGTAGTTTCCGAGATACCCATAGAGAACATCGTAGAAAACTCCCCCTTTATTTGCTAGGATTTCCAAGTTGTTTTACCGGCGTACTTAAGTATTTTAACTAATTTAGCTGACCGTCGTTCTCCCGTAGTTATTACATACATGCGGTATATATTTATATAGTGATTTTTGTCTATTAATCTGCCGTGAATGCTTGGTATACTATCGCCACCACGCCAATCATCGTACCAACGCAGTGTTGCCGATAGACAATTTTTTTCCGAGCCACACAATATTGAAAAAACGAGCCACATTTGCATGCAAGTGAGCCACATTATTAATCAAGCTAAAATTTAATAAATAAAACAAAAATATACAAAATAATAAATATAACACAATCATATACACAATGGGTTAGCATTAGAACTTAAAAATCGATATTTGTCGCTGGCCATGCATGCCTATGCTGAGAGATAAGAGAGTTAAACAAAGATGGGTATATGGTGACTGTGTGAATGACTGGTTGGCATAATGAGTAGGATATGACGGTATATTATGATGGTATATTATGACGTATTTTTTAAAAACCAGATACTTACTTATCCATCTTTGTATATTATGTACTTTTGATCATACGTAAGGAATAGAATTATTGATAGTAAAGACTTTTGATAATAATTAATTTATTGATATCTATTGATTACAGGTATAACGGTTAAAAATTTAAACTGAACACTGAACATAACCTAACAATGTTCAAAACCACCAAAATCGTATCAAACGTCAAACGTCAAACGCCAACACGAACGCAGCAACCAGATACTACAATGTAGGGAGGGATAAAATAATCGATACAACGATTCGTTTATTTTAATGACTAAACAATTTAAAATGAGATGATATTATGTATAAATTTATGATCTATGAAGAAAAAGGAATTATTATAATAATATTATTATTTGCAAAGAGCGGAAAGAGCCACATTTTGCAACGAGGAGCCACCGAGTATTTTTATGCCGAAAAGAGCCACATGTGACCCAATTGGGCCACTTCGGCAACACTGTACCAACGAGATGCTCCTTTCATACCGCACCGCTTGTAATCAAGAAAATTGTATATCCCTCCAAACCGTCTCGCACTCATTAAGGTACTTAAGCCGCGTAATCGTACCACTCTTTTCCTAAATTTAAATCCGGTAGCGCTTAGCTTTTCGGCGGAACGAGAAGTCAGTCAGCTCAGTACTCGTCTGGCCGTGTACCTCTGCAGAACACGATCCCGATCGCAGCAGACCCTCCGTCTGACGTACTACGGTACTACGACGTACGACTTTTATCACTTACGTCGAGTGCGGAAAAAATGACGCCGCCAAAATGACCTGTCGGTGTCATTGTCGCTGCTTTCTGATACGGCTTGTTTCGTATCTAATCTACATACCTCTCTGAGAGTATTTGTTTTGGCTTATTTAGTGGTACGGTACTGACTTTAGTGGAAGCGGTTTTGTTAGATACGGTCGCGCGCGTATTTAATAGTGAGTGTATTATTTTGAAAAAAAATAAGAACTAAAAGGAACGAACTATTTTGGTTAAGTGGAAGTGAATTTTTTTAGTGATTTGTATTGTTGTTGTGGTGAAATAAAGTTTTCATAACGGATTATATTTTACTTAGCTTAGGTAAGAATATTTTCGTTATTTGAATTAAAACATAGGTTGGCTTGTTGGATTTGTTTTATCTACGTTTATACGTCAAAAAATATTTATTTTAATCATTAATTTGCCCTAAGTTGAATTTTTGAACTAAATTTTTTTATTGAACTATAGTAAATAAGAATATATGGCACTGTAACTTTAAGAAATTATAATACAGTTGTTTTCTGAAAAAAAAATAAAATTAATTGTCACAATTTTTATTTCATGCAAACGATAATAAAATTTGTTTTAAAAACTCCCGTTCAAAAAGTCCTTACTTACTTATTATTTACCTTTTGTTATTACACTTCCATTTGCCACTCTCAAATAGATGGACATGGATGGATAAAACACCAATTCACCAAAACACTTTTATTTTGCACTGGACGCACGTTTCGCTAACCATCAGCAGATGATTAAGCGAAACGCGCGTCTAGTGCAAAAGTAAAGCGTTTTGGTGTATTGTGGCGAATTAGTGTTTTTATTTTGGCTTTTGATTTTGCGACCATATAGCTAGCTACCTCTGTATTTCAAGAATATGTGAGATGATGTGATATGAATTACAGTTACGAATTAGGACTTAAGCTTAAAAAAATGCAGAAATAGGTACTACTAATAAACTTCCAAATAAACGGATAGGTAATTGAAACACTGCAACCCAAAATGTTCACCATTAACTTCTACCAGCTTCTATTATTTTATTACTACCGTTTCCCCATATAACAGGAAAATATTTTTGGAATATTTTGGTTGTCACATAATAATAAATACATGTAAACATGTTTTTGTGAATGTGAATGAATTATTACTTTTGAATAAGTGAAAATCTGGGATACTACAGTATTGACACTAATAATATTGTATTTCTATTGTCTTTATTTATTTGACTCTCAATGCTTTTTCTAGATATTCTTGTTAGTAGATATGGAGCATGGAGGATGTATTGTCGTAGTACATAGAAAACTCACACATACGAGACAGTATTTCAACACCAGCTTAAGAAAAATGTTTTTTCTCTCTTAGCTTATAATGTAAGAGGAACATCAGAAAAGACCAGGCGAATATCTAAACAATATAATATTACAAAATAAAATAAAAAATAATGAGAGGACCTAAATATGCCCTGCTGCAGAACATAATAGAAGGAAAGATAAAGGACAGAAGGAGCCAAGGAAGAAGAAGAACATCATGGCTCAAGAATTTGAGAGAATGGTTTGGAATGACTTCAAACCAGTTATTCAGAGCAGCCGTTAACAAAGTTAGAATTGCCATGATGATTTCCAAACCCTATATTAGGAGATGGAACCCGAAGAAGAAGATAACGTTACAACTGTCTTCAAATCTGCGAATTTGGAACTATTCTAAAAAGCGTGTTAACAAAATCGAAACCGGAAATATTGAAACAAGAAACTGGAATGTCGGTTACTGGAAAGACAAAACAAGTACGACTTAAACTTAAAACCTGAAACAAGTCAGGTATTGCAGACCAAAGTGGTCGGAAGCTCGGGTTGTTCACTCACAGGGAATCTAATTTGAGAAAAGTTAAATTTAAAGAAGCCGTTTTACCATAACAAAATCTTTAGCAATTCTAGTATGCAAAACAAAACACTAAATCACCACAATGCACCAAAACACTTTTACTTTTACACTGGACGAGCGTTTCGCTAACCATGTTAGCATCATCAGCGGATGATTATAAACTAAAATACAATCTATAATTGGAGCGTTTATATACTCGCTCAGTGGGCACCGAGTGGGCGTGGAAAAATCTAGCCAACCGAGTCAGAACCCACCGAGCGTAACAGTTAGATTTCCCCCACTAGAGTAGTAGGAACAAAGAACTTGAAGGAATTGGACTGTTGTCTCTGTTCATACTATCTTTACATTTATTAATTCTGATGCTTTCATATGCATCTAATTGCCTGTAATTTGAGACTTGTTTAAGTAATTTAAGTTATTAAGATCTATACAATGTTCTTTATCAACAATATGTTCGACAACGCAAGATTTATCAGGTCTACCATATCTTATCTGAGCTAAATGTTCTTTATATCTAGTTAATATTGACCTTCTAGTTTGCCCAACATATTTCTGATTACAATCTTTACAAGAAATTTCATAAATACCCTGTAACAGTCAAATTTCCTCGCAACGACCTCTGTGTGCCAGCTCATAAAATATCGCAAATAGCTATTATTTTTGCATCATGTTTACTATAATTTTATTATTAAATATTATTTTATTTAAATTTTACAATTATGCAACCCGATATACACCGCGATATACAGCTATAGATACACAATATTGTCACTGGACCAGGCACACCAGCAGTAGTAGGCTTTTTGTCCATCTCTCTATATCTTTGATCGTCACCTCCGTCACTTGTCACTGTCAGATCAAATCAGATGTTTTTGGATTTATTTATCCTTTGTTTTGGTTATTGAAATTTTATAACTATCAGATAAAATTTCGTAGTTAAATTGGTTATTTTTGATGTGGATCGCATTGTGCAATTCGTTCTTTTAATTGTGGAATTTCTGAGTTTAGTTCGTTCATTGACCTGATATGGAATATGCCTGAGGAGAAAACATCATTTTTTATTTATGCCTTTTTGTGAGTTGGACTAATCAAGATATATAGTTCTCTATCTATATCCTAGAGGGAGATTTCCGGTTGAAATCTGATTTTTTGAAGGAAATCGAATCCTTGCATCACTTCTTGTGTACTCCCCGACCGGGTGTCATCGTGAAGAGCTGGCTGCCGTTTCGTGAAGCATTCCCTGTTGGTGAATAGCAGGTCTTCGTAAAGAAGGATTAAGGCTTCCGAAACACATTTAGTCAGAGACGTGGTTGGATTTTGTTGAGTTTATATGGACCACCGATTAATCTCTTATCCGGGATTAAATAGTCAAATTTTCCGACCGATATTCCGATTCCACGTGCCCAAGAAGTCTCCGAATAGTTCCAAGGTATGCTATAATTCTTCTGCCTATTCTAAGTCAATGCTCAACTGATTTTTGTTCATATTGTTGTCTGGTTTTCGACTCTTCCACGCCCACTAGAAACGAGAACCACGATCTAGAAAGATCAGTTGAGTGTTATCCTTCTTAAATCTTATTTGGTTGTTCGTAATTGTAGAGCAAGAAGACCGATCCAGACCGTAGTACAGAACAGTCCAGAATTCCATCCGTTCCTGTTGTCCGTGTAGAGATACCCGTTGGACATCATAAACCCTCGTTGAGGTAAAGTTCAGATTTGATTAGTCCTTCTTTATTACCTTTATAACCTCCTACACGTTGTGCTAGTCCTTGTTCTATAATTGTGGCTCTATTCTAAGACAACCAATATTATTTAAGGTTTTTATGTTCACCTTTTGAAGTCCTACACCTGCCTGTACATTTGCTGAAGGGCTCCAGTGACAGTACCCCGAGCTGCTGTACACCGCCGTAGCAACCCTGTAGCTATACGCCGTAGCTCAGCCGGAGGAAGTTTTCAATATCACATTGAGTAGAGTAAGACTGTACAATTTTAGTTTAGATTTAGTTTGATATTTGTAATCCACCCAGGATATTGTACTTAGTTTAAGTAAGGGGGATTATGACGTCATACTTTTAGTTAGTTTTCTTGATTTAAATTTTATTCTACTTTTCAACGTTTATTCATTTCCATTTCTTTAAATATTAACTTTTAATATTTTAATAAATTGCTTAAACATTTTTAGTAGTATTATTTGCAGTCTAGTCTCATAGTTAAGTTAGAGTCACTTAAGTACAAATAGTTATAGAATATTTGAAGTTCATGATAGTTGCACTCAACAGTTCGAGGTTAGTGTTGAAGTCTACTTAATAGTTACATCTTTTATGCCGAGTTCATAGAGTATAATCTCGTGGCGCCCTTTTATTAATATTTTTGAACCCCGACCACCCGGCTGTTAAAACTAAAAAGCTAGTGGCCTCTATGTAACTCATTCTGCATAAAGTAAACTTGTGTTTTATTGAACTTCAAATTAGAAAGGGCGTGGCAACCCGACCTTTCCAGTAGAGGTGTTTTATCCTTTGGATTACCTAATAATTGTTGTAATTTATTATTAGCATTATACACTAGTTTATAATTGACATTCTTAAAAATTCCTTTTAGACCACGGGATAACTGTCTATCAAACGGTATTGAAAAATATTTTGACGTATCTTTCTCCACTTGAAAAGTCGAATTTTCAGAAATCATTAACCTATGTTTTCTAATTATTTTATCAACTAGTGAAGGAGAATATCCATTACACTCAGCTACATTCCTAATGTAATCTTTTTCTATTTCATATTTTTCGTTGGAAAGTGGAAAACTAAGTAATCTATGAACTAAGAAATTTAAACTAGCCATTTTATGTTCAATACTATGATATGATTCATTAGGAATATATCTGCGTGTAGTGGTATTTTTTCTATAGATATCAAATTCCAGGCAATTATTAGTATTTCTAATAACTAATACATCTAGAAATGGTAATCTGTCGTTGTTCTCAATTTCATGTGTAAATTTAATGGAAGGAAAACGATTATTTAATTTAGAAATAAAATTATCTATGGTGTCTGAATGTGTGTCAAAAACAGCAAAATATCATCCACATACCTAAACCATACTCTTGGAAAATACTCAAACTGATTCTTAGCCTCCACTTCAAACCTGCTCATGAATAAATTAGCTAAAAATGGAGACAATGGATTACCCATTGCTGTACCTTCCCGCTGTTCAAAAAAGTTGTTATTAAATTGAAAACAATTTTGTTTCATACATAACGATGTAAGCTCAATATATTCAATCACAGTTTTGTTGTCGAGACCATTTGCGTTCAGTAATTCCTTCAAGTAGCCTAAAGTATGTGGAATTGGAACACTTGGTACAAACTGTAAAATTCCAGTATGGAAATATCCACGGCATGGCATATAAAAAGCACCAATGTGGACATTGCCAGTTAACAATGTCATACTT